GATTTGCATATAATATATGTTGTAGGAGAAGGACCCACAAAGCAGGCAGTGGCTGTGGAGCATTGATCCTCAGCTTCTTTGTTCAAACTGGGTCCCCTACTGTTGCTGGTTATTATTTTATCACAGCCATTCCTCATGTAAGGTGACAGGACAGCATCTAACCCCCTGGGTTCTAGGGACTGCCACCCCTCCTCCTTATTTAGTGGAAGACCTAGGGCTTTCCTGACTCTGACTTTGGTGACATGGCAAATCCCAAGTCGGTGCTGCCAGTTGCCAAGTACATCCCAGAAGTGGCAGTCCTGTTAGGACAAGAGGCCCTTCTCAGGCTTGGGCGAGGCCCAGTAAACTGGGAGTTGAGGTCACAAGCCCTGTGAAGCAGCCTAGCAGCCCCCATACCTCATTTCAAGGGCGCCCAGGCAGCTGAGTACATTCTGGCCCTACGTCCTTGAGCTACAAACCTCTCTTGTCATGCCACCTGCTGCCCCAGCTCACTTCTGTGGTCTCTGCATCACCCTCCAAATCTCTCCGCATCAACAGGGCAGGGGAGGGTCAGGCATTTGAACAGAAAGGGGTATGTCAGAAAAGCATCTTGCAAATTTATTGTTTCTAATGCTCTGGGTTTTTTCCTGCAAGTAAGAACAAGAGGCGACTTTAAAGGTATCAACAAAAATAAGACACCTCAGCAAAACAGAAAATTTTAATTCAAAAATTAAAAATCAAAGTCTCTAAAGGTCCAGGAGAAATATAAAAGACTACACAGGGAGGTGAAAGGGGAAGAAATAGCAGGCAGGTAGGCACAGAAATTTTATGTGATTACTAAAATTTGGTTCTGGGCTTCCTGGAGTCCAAAGCAAGAAAGGAAAATAGGAAAAGTGATTAACTACAAATATCACATGGTCCTTAAAGAAAAAGCAGACCAGCTCCTTAGAAGAAATAATGCTGGTTTTTTGTTTTTGTTTTTTTTTTTTGCATGGATCTCATGTGGATCATGCAGTGGTCAACATCCTCCACAACATCCTCATTGTTAGGGCAGGGGTGAGGCTTGTGAAGGCTCCTGCATTGGAAATCGGGGCCTTGACCTGGTGAAGGCACCTCTCTGGGAGATCCAGAAGGTGTGGATCAAATGTGCAATCCACCAATGACTGGCTTCATTCAGAAACAACACCCAGATACTGGAAGAATGCAAGGACCAACTCCAACCTCATCTCCAAATTATTCTCCATGCACAGGGTTTCTTTCAGCATGCAGCTTGAGGCTCTGGTTTCCAACAAAGACCTGGAATGCAGGTTTTGCCTGTGCCCAAGAAGTAGATCTAGATATATAAATCATAGCATGTCTGTATAGTGGAACACTGTGCGGCCATCAACAGGAACAAGGAGATGACACGTGCTGCTGGAAAAAGTTGTGTAAGGTGCGCTATTAGGTGAAAAAAGCGGGTTGCACAACAGTAGGCATTGTGGTATTGTGTGATTCTGCTCGTATTAAAAATTAAATAATAAAACAACATATGGGCATAGAAAATTTCCGGAAGGATACATAAGAAATTGGTGACAGTATGTAACCTTAGGGAAGAGGGAATTTTATAGTTTAGCCACACCTTCCTTACGATAATTATGTATTCATTTTGGATTTAAAAAGTTATTTTAAAAAGGTGAATCAAGGGCACCTGGGTCGCTCAGTCAGTTAAGCGTCTGCCTTCGGCTCAGGTCATGATCCCAGAGTCCTGGGATTGAGCCCCGCGTTGGGCTTCCTGGTCAGAGTGGAGTCTGCTTCTCTGTCTTCCTCTGTGGCTCCCCCTGCTTCTGCTCTCTCTCTCTCTCTAGCTCTCTCTCTCTCAAATAAATAAAATCTTTTTAAAAAAAATGAATCAAGAAAACAATACAGTTATGTTAAGAGGAGTGAAGCAGATCAGTTTTACTGGAAAAGTAAGATGGGAAGAGAAAGTCTGGATAAATATAGATTTAATGTCTAAAAGGGGCTGACATGGGGAGGTAAGATTATAGCAGACTTTCACTTTCAAGTGAATCATTTCTGCAACATTTTTGTAATAAGTAGCTATTTCTTTTATAATAAAATAAAAAACAACATTTTATGTCAATCTAGGGGACTGTCAGGTTGACTGCCTTTTATGAAAATTAAGAGGCCTAATCAAGACTTATCCAAATGAATGGCCACCCTACCTCTGTCGGGCAGTGGGCCAGAAAAGAATCTGCAAGTAAGACAAGCATTTTTCCTAAGGAAGCAGTTGGCTGTCTATTCTGGCACACAAATGAATGAATGATCTTGACATTAACATTCTGGCCTCACAAAGCACTGATGCTCGCCTGGGAAGGTGCTTATAGCACAATCCAGAGGCTGTTGTGCTTTTGAAAAAAGAAAGGGCACTTAAAAATCGCTGTTGTTTCATAGTAGGATAATACGTTTGAACTATTAATTTTTCACAATTCTGGCTATTTCCTTCCCTTTGTCTGTCACCATTGCCCTCGCCCTCGGAGCTAGCCTGTTCTCTGCTGGGTGCCTCAGGGAAGAGATGGGACAGGGAAAGCAACAAAGGCTCATCCTGGCTTTTGACTTTGAAAAGCTTAGGGAAAGGGACCCAGGGAGAGAAAAAATAACCATCAGAGAGAATATCTCACTCCCGAGATTAGAAAATGGGCAAGTGGGAGGATCAGAGCTGTGTATGGTGTGAGGATGGGGGCCAGCCTTGGAGGAACAGAAGCAGCATCCAGAGAACTCTGAGCTTCTACTTGGAGAAGCTGAATCAGCAGCCCAGGTCCACAGTGTCCATTTAAGGGCTGGGATGCAGATCAAGAAAGGCCTGGAACTCTGGAGGGCTTCAGGAGGGGGCTACCTCCCTCTACTTTCTCTCTGCACCTGCTTTGGTCTTTTATCTCAGCATCACCAAATATCTTTCCCAACTCCTGTCTGGATGGTTGAACACGATTAATTGTCCTTGATTTGACACCCAGAACCAGAGTGACTTCTTTCTCAGGTCTTCATCCCTTGTTTCTGAGGCCGTCTGTGATTGGCCCAGCTTGGATCACGTGCCCATCCAGTGCTCTGCGCCGTCCGCCCCGCCTCCCCCCGCCCCGCCCCAGCATCTCCGCACCAATCTGCTGTTCTTGGAGGCTGAGGTCTCTGTTGCAACCACATTTCGGGCCACTTTTCCCCTCATCCCACTCTGTTTTCCTAGTTTCCCCTCACCCCACTCCGTTTTCCTCCTGAGAACACTGCCCAATAAACCTTCTGCATGTAACTTTCCATCACTTCAGTGTCTATTTCCAATCTAAGACACTCACCTTGCAGACACTGGGTACCTACAGAATATCTGGAGTCAGCACTAAGGGCTGTGGTCGCTCACCTGTCTGGAAAGTGAGGCCCTGGAGAGCGATGGAGCTCCAGACACCATTCCCAACACCAGACAGTGTGAGGCTGAGGCTTTCCTGGAAAGAAACTTAGCACTGGAACTTCGCACTGGAATGAAACTTAGAAAGCCCTGGGTTCTGCCACTGGTGAGCTGGGTGCCTGGCAAGCCTCTTAACTGGTCTGACTCACAGGATCTCAAATGCAGATCAAGGAATCCCACCCCACAGGGTTAATTCAAAGTTCACAAAAAGGATCTAAGTCAATGGGCCTCAAACAGTGCTTGGCACAGAGTAGAAATATTATACGTATGTAGAACAGTTTGGCTTTCAGAGCTTCCTGCCCCTGGTCATCTACCGGCCTCCCTCTATCCCCACACCCTGTCTACCCTTTCATACCAGACTGGGTGAGGCCCTGAGCAGAAGGGCCACACGACCCCCACCAGGAAACCAGCTTCCTGAACTGATTATTACCTTCTTAGACTCTCCACAGGGATTTTGTAGATGCTGAAATGTAAGTCACATTAAGTTCTATTAAAAGATAAATCATATTAAATTTTGTTTTCTGTTCAAAAGGTTTCCCGTCCCACTCAGTATCTAACATTATGGCCCCTATTATCTCTTTTGGACCTTTTCTGCTACTCATCTCTCTCATTTTCTTCAGCCACGTTGGTCTCCTAGCTGTGTGTTAAACACACTAGGCATACTCCTACCCCAGGGCCTTTGCACTTGTTGTACCCGCTTCCTAGACAATTTTCCACCTGACTCACTCTCTCACATCTTCGGGTTCTTACACAAAGATCGGTGAGACAGCCCCATCCCCATTTAAAATAGCAAAACTCCGTCAACACTGCCTAGCCCCTCTCCACTTTAGAACTTGTTATTATCTGACATGAATTTCATGAATTCACTGCTTCTCTTACTCTATTGAAATATAGAGGACAGGGATTTTTGCCTGTTTTATTCTCAACTATATCCCACAACAGTATCTAGCATGAAATATATGCTCGATATATTTTTGTTAAATGAATGAGTGAACGTGTTAATATGCTTTACAAGCAGGTGAGACTAAACAGAGAAAATCCACTAGTGAGACCAATGATGAATTGATGCCAGCCACGGGAACGGAGGGACAAAAGGTCCCGAGCATGGTTAGAATCGCTGAAGTTCCCTGCCAGGCCTAAGAAATGTCTAGGCTCTCCCCTGCCACCCCACCCAGGCAGCTCCTTGAGGACAGGGGCTGTCTATTAGCTAAGTGTCCAGCTCAGTCCCTGGCATGTGGCAGGTACTCAGTCGATGTTTGCTGAATGTACCAATGCACCAAGGTGCTGGTGGCCGAGGGGAAGTGGTCTGCACCTCCGGGCACCTTTGGGGAAAAGGCATCTTTAGATGATGACATATTCATTTCCCTCTTAATTCAGCCCTTGTCATCGGCCAGTGTTTCCCAAAGTATGTTCTCCAGAACCTCGGTGCTAATAGGTGTTAGGTAGAAGAAGGGTCCTGTTGTCAAACACATTTGGGAAATCCTGGATTAAATAAAGTTAAACAGGTTTCCTGACTTCCTGAAGAATCTTTAATATGCAAATATAAATTAAAAATCCAAGAGGGGGCTTATGTTTTGAAAGCTTTTCCAAACTTACCTGATCATGGAGCTCATTTTTCAAGGAGAACAAGGATTTCACAGACTGCTGTTTGGGAAACACTGGCATAACCTCACACCTATCAGAAATTGAAAAGATCAGGGAGGAAATCTAGTGCAACATTTTCTTTTCACAGAAGAGACAAGAGAAGTGAAGAACAGAGAGGGAAGGGGGTTGACTGAGGGAAACACGGTAAGTCGGAGGTGGGGCTTGGCTAGAATCCAGCCATCTCTGGCCTCTAGGGCACTTGCTGCTTTCAGTTTTGATCTCTGGGGTTTTGAACTCTGACTTGTCAGGCCCAGTTTGCTCACTGTATTCTCAGAGTCATAGAAACTTAGAACAGGAAACCCCGCAGAGACGTGAGCGTTCCACTCCTGACCTCACCTCCTGTTTCTGGCCCCAGCTGCCTGCCATGACCCAACTCTGGGCATGTAACCTGCACCTGGGAGCCCGGTGCTCCCCATCTCCACCTCCACCCCTGCCCCCTCCACCCTTCCCTAGCACAGGGTTCCTGCCCCAAAGCCCTGGGTCCCGGGACCAGCAATATCAGGACAACATGAGAAATGGCTAGAAATGCAAATTCGCTGGCCTCACCTCAGACCTACTGAATAAGAAACTCGGGGTGGAGGGCAGCAATCTGTGTTTTAACAAGCCCCCAGGTGCTTCTGACTCATGCTAACGTTTATGAACCACTGCCCTAAACCATACTAACTCAGACCAAGCCGAGGTAGGGAAAGGCCTTTCCTTGCCTTCCCTGGTCCCCAGAGAGCAGAGCACACCCTCCAAGGACCTCGGTAAGGATCCTGGAAAACTCCAGACACAAAATCTTCAGAGATTCTTACAGCTCAGCGGGTCCCAATCACTTGAACTTGGTGCCACCTAAACCCTGAAGTTAATTTACACCGTATCATTTCATTAGTTGGCCTAATCGATAGATGCAATTTTATAAAACAGACCTGGGCTGGGCAGTTTTTCAGGCTCCTGTTGTACCTCTCAAATACCCCGCCTCTGAAATAAATCCCAGCAGGAGGAGACCTATATGATACATGGGGGGATCTGGAAATGTCAGAGTCTTACCTCAGTCCACTTAAGTCGAGGCGGGGTCCTTTCAGTGCATCAAAAGTAGTGCTTTAATTGAGTTTAATAGCTTGATTCGAGTATATGTTCTTCCCAAATCCATCTGTTTTTTTGGATTTCTCATCCAGGGTGATGGCCTCATAGTGGAATGGAATTGAGCAATGCAAGTCTGCGTGGCCCAAAGTGGTGGTCCCAGGAGCCCCCCACCTTCACTCAGGAGGAGGAGGAGGGTAACACCCTCTTTCCTGCCTGCCACCCCCTACTGGCCCTACAGGCGGACAGGAAGCCCCTCAAAATGTGCCCTTGGAAGGCTGGCTGGGATAAGGCGGGTTGCTTATCCACCAGCCACTGAGAAGTGGGGCCCTGCAAGTCTCCACGTTGCATCTCCTGTCACAGTCCTGGCTCCCGCTGCGTCTGGGCTCCTCATCGAGGCTGGAGATACTTCGGGCACCCACTCGCTCACTCACTCACCCACTTGGCCCAGGCAGCGCTGCTATGGGAGCCCTCCATCCATCCTCGTCATTCAGGGGCCTCTGCAAGTATGCCTGTCAGTATAATGCACGGCCTGTTGAGGGGAAGTGACATTTTGAATAGTGGACACTTTTCCAGGAGCATTCATCCTAGGTCAGCCTCATGATAAATAAATACATTCGGCATCTGAAGTCAGCAGGCAGGATACAACGACCGAAATGCAAGCCCAGATGCATGTTCCATAAGGCTGACTTGACGGGGTGGAGGTAGGCTGTGAGGGAAAGGGGGAGAGGGAAGGCTCCGTGAGTAGATTTGGGGGAGACTTTATTCCTCCTCTGCCTGGCACCTCTAGGGAAAACAGGAAGCAAATGATGCTGCAATTTCCATTGTCCCCGAACCACAAGAGGGTACTTTCTTTCTGTCACCCCTTCTGCTCCTCACCTGTCCCTCCTCCCCACAAAAAAACCCCTAGTCCCCATCTTAATTACCCCTAACAGTGCCCTAAACAAAGTATTTATAAGGCTTACTGAGTTTGTCTTCCCATTCCTATTAATAAAGTCTGGGAATGTAGGGAAGAAATATGGGTGGGTGACAGGGTTTTTAATGGTGCCTCACCTTAAATGCATTTTAAAATATGTAAATCAATAAAAAATTATTTGTAATAGCAGCCTAAGAGTGCTGGTTAGCCTGGCACGGAGTGAAATGCACGCTACAAGCCCTATTACCATACATCCTGGGAGCTGTAGTTAGGATTAATCTGTCAAAGGGGATGGTTTAGTGTTGATGAATATGACATGTGACCATTAACGATGTTGATTTTATCTCCCGAGATTAGCATGATTTACTTCGGATGGATAATAATGTCATTTGCTTGATGCAGTAGATCTGTTTACGAGCTGATTAAATTGTAAGGCCTTGCCTCATTTCATGCTATTTGGTTTACAGCTTCATTACCACAATCACAAAAGCTGGGGAAATGTCCCACATTCCATGTCACAATAAATCACTGCTTCACGTTGCTGGGATGGATTTTAGCAGTCCTGCCCAGCAAGGACCATTCTTGGCTCCCCACTAATCTGTGATCCAGAATACATTAGGGGGATCTTCAGGAACACCGGAATGAGAGGGGGCAGGAATCCTCTCGGATCTTTTAATTGAGACTAAGGAAGTCCTTGAGTAATTAGCTGTAACAAATTGCCTTATTATTTAGACAGTGAAGTCACTGTTTTCGTTGCAAGGATGATTACCATAAATATGCAGAAAAGTGACACTCAAGAAACCAGGAGGGAAGCTTGGAAGCCAATTTCATTTTCACCCCGTTATCCTTTGCTCTGGGAGAGGGGCGATCGGAATGCAAGGTGTGTAGGGGACCTGTGTGGGAGGTCCTCCACCCTGCCATGCTTATCCAAAGTGGAGTGAGAGGAGGTGTGCACCACACACCCACAACATCGCGCCGGCCACCTCAGCACCTCTGGGTGGGATGCGGCTGAAGGGGAGAGGAGAGAGGAGAATGCCTGGCATCTGGGTCAGAGGAGAAGTATGTAAACTACAGACCTGTTCACTCCATGCCAGCTCCGTGCCGGACTGAGCCGGCAGTGTGATTCTCTACCCTGTGCCTGGGGCAGAGAGAGGAAGCGGAAAAGACAGGACTGTTTACCCCTCAAAAAGCTGGGGAGGCAGAAAACACAGGCCTGAAATGATTACTTACATTTCTAATAACACCTAAGAGATTTTGAGTTCTTAACTCCTGCCAGATCCTGGTCTCACCACTGACACAACCCTAGGAGATTGGCATTAGTATTCTCACCCCGTGTTACAGATGAGGAGACCAAGGCTGGGGGCAGGGGTGTTTAGCAATGTGCCCGAGGTCACAGAGCCAACCAGTGACAGAGCTAGAATTTGAACCCAGGCAATGGGGCCCGGAATTTGGCACAGGACCTATACAACGAGCTTGCCATTTGGCTCAGGGTGAGGCCATTTCAGCAAAGAGGCAAGGAGGGAGAATTTTCAGACCTTAGCCAATTCTTATTCTTACTCCTGCACTGAAGCCTGCGACTGTGAATAGGAGTTTCCTGCAAAGAATTTAGGATGAACAGTAACCAGGAGCACAGAGGCCAGGTCTCAAATGGGAACCTTAGTAAGATTTTGTGATGAGCATAATCAGAGAAGATATAAGACTACATATACTTCCTCAAGGGCAGGCCTTTGGGAATAGTAATAATATAAAAGGCAAAGGTAGCCTTTCTCTGCTTCTCAGCTCAGAATCTCCCTAGGACACCAAAAAATAAAGGGGAGAAATTGTGGCCTTCTAAAAAGCTCTGCAGAAGAGGTAACTCCAGAATCCCCAAACTGCATGCAGTTTCACTTCTGAACTGGTTGGAAATGGGGTCCTCAAGTTTCTGCATCCCTTAATCAGACTCATTACTGTGTCCTTATAGCAGAGATCACTAGTGGCCCTCCAATCTCCATTCCTCTGTTTTTCCTGTACTAGAACCCTGATTTGCAATCGATTCTAATATAATAAAGACTACATTTCCCAGCATTGCTTCAAGCTAGGTGAGCCATATGACTAATATGGGAACCATTTATTGAGCTTCAACTCTGAGCCAGGCCCTGCGCTAAGTGTTGGTTGGGATAAAGACACATAAGATGCAAACAATGTCCTTAGCCTGCCAAGCTGCTGTTCTGTCCTTCAGTCACTGATCTGGCAATCTGTCAGGTGTGAATTGATCTATCGGTCAATCAGCACACTGGCTATTTCGTCAATGGCCAGACACTTGCCCTGTAGGCATTGGTCCTAGTACTGAACTCTCAGGGAGCATAGATGGGGACACTTTGGCCACAGTCCCAGGCAGATAGAATCTGATGCCAGGCATAGGGATAAACCCCCAAGAAATGTGCATACTCTTATCTTACAGCATACACAAAAATTAACTAAAGACTTAAACATAAGGCCTGACATCATAAAACTCCTAGAAGAAAACATAAGGAAAAATCTCCTTGACATTGGTATTGGCAATGATTTTTTTTGGATATGACACCAAAAGCAACAAAAAGGGAAGAAATGCAAAAAATAGACAAGTGGGATTACATCAAATGAGAAAGCTTCTGTACAGCAAAGGAAACAGTCAGCAAAATGAAAAGGCAACTTACAGAATGGGAGAAAATATTTGCACACCATCTATCTGATAAGAGGTTAATATGCAAAATATATAAGGAACTCATACAACTAAATTGCAAAAAACACAAATAACCTATTTAAAAATGGGCAAAGGACCTGAATAGACATTTTTCCAAAGAAGACATACAAATGAGCAACAGGTACATGAAAAGTGCTCAACATCACTAATCATCAGGGAAATGCAAGTCAAAACCACAGTAAGATACCACCTCCCACCTGTTAGAATGGCTATTATCAAAAAGATGAGATTATAGTTGTTAGCGAGGCTGTGGGGAAAGGAGAACCCTTGTATACTCTAGCTGGGAATGTAAATTGGTACCATCATTAGGGAAAACAGTGTAGAGGTTCCTCAAAAAATTAAAAATGGAACCACCATATGATCCAGCAATCTTACTTCTGGGGTGAAGGAAATGTAATCAGTATTTCTAAAAGATATCTATACTCCCATGTTCATCGCAGCATTATTCGTGATAGCCAAGGTATGAAATCAGTCTACATGGATCCATGTGTCTATGGATGGATGAAGGGATAAAGAAACACATACACACACAGAGGAATATCATTCAGCCATAAAGAAGAAGGAAATCCTGCCACCCTGCCATTTGCAACAATATGGGTGAACCTGGAAGACATTATGCTAAGTGAAATAAGTCAGACACAGAAGAACAAATACTATGTTATATGACATATATAATGAGTTTAAAATAGTTAAACTCATAGAGGCAAAGAGTGGAATGGTGGTTATGGTGGTTGCCTGGGGTTGGGGGAATAGAGGAAATGGGGAGATGTTGGTGACAAAGGGAATAAGGTTATAAGATAAGTAAGTTCTGGGGTTCTAATGTACAGCATGATGATTATGGTTAATAATACTGTATTGTATACTTGAAATTTGTCACAAGAATAGATCTTCTATTCTTGTTTTCACCATACACACACATATAAGGTAACCAAGTGAGGTGAAGGATGCATTAATTAACTTGATTATGTTAAGCATTTCACAATGTATCCCAATAATGCTCTCGCTGTGTAGCCATGCCCACTCTCTACCAAAGACCATTCCCTGCTGCCTCTTTGGGGGCTCCTGGCACTGGAGCCGTGCCCCCTCTGAGGTATCTTGTCCGCCCAAGATGTGGTACCTCTGACCACCTCCCCATCTTGGTCTCCTATGTCTGCCTCTTGGCCACAGAGACTGTGACCCTCAACTCTGTCTCTCCAGGTTTGACATTTGTTCCTTGTGCAGATATAATTAGGGGGAAATGAATATATAAAAGGGAACATAGACTTTTCTATCCCTTGTGTTTGGAGACTCCTTCCTCTCCTCAGCATCTCTGTGGCCACACTGCCCTCTTGGCCTTCTGGGGACGGAGACAGAGAAGGTGTGCAGCCTGGGAATGTCCTTCGTGGGGTGGACTATGAGGCCAAGCCAAGGGCCCAGCCTGAGGGGATCAGAGAGGCGACCATCCTGGGGTGTCCAAAGCTTGGTCAAAACTGTGAGCTAGGGGCTAGGAACACAGATAAAGGATCATGTTCTGGTTGGTTTGGAGCATTCTCCTGGGATGGTGAAGTATCAGTCTGGCCTGTATCAGTCACCTATTGTTATGAAAAAAAAAAAGAGTCTGAAATTTACTGGCTTAAAACAATAATGACATTTATTTTGTTCATGTATCAGCGATTTGGGTGGGGCTTTGTGGGGAGGGCTTTTCTCTGATCCACTCACCGTCAGCTGGTGCAGCCCAAAGGCTGGAGCCTGGAATCTTCTGAGTCTTGTCTCTCCATGCTGCAGTTGATGCCACAGTTGGCTGGGACTTCAGTTGGCACTGTCGCTGGAATATCTACGCGTGGCCTGTGTGACCACTTGGCTTCCTCAGAGCATGGGGATTCAAGGTTGAGCAATCCTAGGGGAGGCAGTATTGCCTGTCCTGACAGTCTTGGAAGTCACATGGCATCACTTCTACTCTGATCACAGGCCTGCCCAGATTCAAGGGGAGGAAATGTAGACCCCCACCTGTTGAGGGACGAGCGTCAACTTCATAACATAAGAGGAGCACATGGGATGGGATATATTGGTGCCATCATCTTTGGAAAATACTATAGGCCCCTCCGTGCCTTTGATCCTGCTGGTCCTCCTCCTTATTTCCAAATTCCCCATTTTTCACCCACCAAGTGTGTATTTATTGCCAACCCCAGATCAAGTGTTCCCTCCTCCTCAGTGATTTCCACATCCTTTTATGGGAATTAATCCTGTGCCCCCACTGTGATAGCTCTTATCACAACCCACCCTAAGGCAACACTTGTTTCCATGACCCACTAGACTGGACAGTAAGTGCTTTGAAGGCAGATGCCATTTCCTGGTCATCTTTCCACTACCTTCATGCCAAAGGGAATGCTGTGTGTGCAGCAAGAGCTCATTACCATGCTTGCCAGTGAAAACACTCACTGTCCCTGTCTGGAGGATCACAGCTCTGACCGGGCAGTGGTCTTGCCATAGGTGACCAAGGTTGTCTTCGTTTTTGCCTGAGGGACCTCCCCAGGGAGCTCTAAGGGAGGCAAGAGGGGCTGCCCTTCACACACTTTCCTGGGGACTGGGGAAGGAGCAGCTCTGAGAGTAGTACCTGTGAATTGAAATACAGACATGGGCTCTGGAGTGAAACAGCTCTGGCCTTGAATTTCAGCCCACCACTTACTTGCTGTGTGACTTCAGGCATGATACTAACCTCTCTGAATCTCAGTTTTTCTTTTATTAACATAAGATTAATATAGTGCCTTATCTCCTAAAGATCTTATAGGGATGAAAAAACATAATATAAAGAAATATAAAGCTCTTGGCATAAGGAAAATGCTTACAAATTGGTAATAGTAATAATAATCATCATCATCCAATTTCTTTCCTATGGCTGAGACTCTGCCTGGTGAGAGAGCACCAGGGCAGCCTCCACTCTAGGCCTGGCCCACTGGAATCCTTGCTGTCAGATGGGGTTTCCCTATGGACAGAAGTTAGAGAATGTGCATTGTTGTGACTGGCGTGGCCCCAGCTGGGTAGTTTGCTGGGTACTTGTAGGAGGTAGTGCCCGGTGGAGCTGGGGGCAGGGGCCAGCTGCCTATGGCTAACCCCAAAGGGAGAGAGTTAAATGAGATTTGGCTGGCCAACATCAATAGCCACAGTCCCAAAGTCAGGAGTATAGAACTGAGCAGGCTGTAGAAGGTGCTAGGCAGCCAAGGCTCCCCACATCAGGTGGGCTGCCAACATCATTCCACAGTGGTGGATCTGCTTTGGTGTAAAGGATATGGACCTGCCCAGTAGAAGGGACCCAAGCCCCCAGATAACCAGGCTTTGGTTCTAGCAAATGGAAGGTACTGAGGGCAGTTGAAAGATGGCCTGCATACAGTGAGGACAGAGAGGGAGGCTGTCCTCTCCCTAAATACCCCACACACTAAGTATGAGGGCAGCAGAGCTTATCCACATCCTCCTCACTGGCACTGTCAGCGAGGAAGCTCCTTGCTTCCCACCGATTCAGGGCCTGAGCTGCTGGATCTGTGGGTTTCAGCCAGCTAAGTGGGACGAGAATAGGTGGGTCCAGTTGTGTGCTGGTACTTAACAAACAGCTCTCTGGGGGAGGAAGCTTTCATTTGCAGAGTTTTGCCAATTGTTTTTGTGTAAATACTGCCACCATGGCTGATTTGAAGCTATCAACATAAGGCCACAGAATGAGAAGCTGGGAAGAGGTGTGCCCAATTTTGTGAGCCAGTATGAACTGATTCCAGCACACCACTGGGTGGGTCTGACCTCTGTGCTAGGGGAGAAAGGCAGATGTGTGTGTGTCTTCCATGTACAGAGAGGTAGAGGTCACTGCGCGGTGGTAAAAAGCACAAAAATAATGTCTCTGGAGTCTAACAGCCTGTAACAGAATCCCAGTTCTGCCATTTGCTGGCTGTGTGACCTTGGGCAAGTCACTCTACCTCTCTGTGCCTCAGTTTCCTCATCAATAAAGTGGGACTAATTATAGTGCCCACTTCATAGAGTTCTTCTGAAGGCTCCATACTGGTTTGTGGTAGATTGACATAAATGTTATTTATTACAGTTAATCACACAGAGTCGTTGGAGTGTTGTGTTGGTCAGAATAGTTTAGAACCGAAAACCCAGAATCCCTCATGGCATTTCCCAAAGGCATGGTCTTTTTATATTTAATCTTGGATTTCCTTCAAGATGGAGGATTTTAAATCCACAGGTCCATGAAGTGCCTGAAATTATTTTCCGAATGTTGAGTATGTGTGCTTATTTCTATAAGGAGGGGCCGTAGCTTTTATCGGCTTCTCAAAAAAAAAAAAAAAAAAAAAAAGGCTGTGGTTTCTGCATCCTTCCCTCAACCCACAAAAGGCTTAAGAACTAGTGATGTGGAGGGTGTAGAATTCCCACACCACAGGAACTGCCCCTGGAGGATGTGGGGGAGAGGAGATGTTCATAGAGTGTGTGGAAGGAAAATGGCAGAGTCACAGAGAGATCCGCAAAGAGGTTGGCGGGAACTCCTTCGGGGAGACCTAAGGCTGAGAAAGCTTCCAGCAACAGGGCAACGTAAAAGCTCACATTCACGCATCCGTTCCTGATTTCTCCTGACCCTTCCAGTTCCAAGAGTGTCCTCCTCCCTTCTCCAGCGTCCCCACTGCAGCCCATGCCCTCCTGGATCCAGCAGAGGCATGCCCTGGGAGTTACTGCTTTGCAGGAGGCATGATTCAAAATCCCTCAACTTTTGCTCTGATTCGCTGATGCCATTTGTGTTCTTCTTGATTGTGTTTTGTTTCTTTTAGGTTTCTGGAGTTACACTATAATTATTTAAGATATGGTTAGCGCAAAGTTGATTTAGCATCGGTCTGCCTCTGTTTTGAGTTGGAGGCTGTATTCAGTTTTTTATTAATAACATGGAAGGGGGGGGCGCCTGGGTGGCTCAGCCGGTTAGGCGTCTGCCTTCAGCTCAGGTCATGATCTCAGGATCCTGGGATCGAGCCCCGCGTCGGGCTCCCTGCTCAGTGGAGAGCCTGCTTCTCTCTCTCCCTCTGCTGCTCCCCCTGCTTGTGCTCTCTCTGTCTCTGTCTCTGTGTCAAATAAATAAATAAATAATCTTAAAAAAAAAAATAACATGGAAGGGGGTGGCGGGTAAGTTTACAATGCTTCTTTTCCACCCACTTGTTTTTTGTTTTTGTTTTTGTGTTAAATTAAAAAGACCATCCCTTCCTCTTCCTGGCTTCTTGTTGTGCATGGAGTTCAGGGCCAAAGTGAAGAGGTCTCTAAGCAAAGTTTTTTATAATTACAAAATTACTCTGGACAGATTTCACCCTAAATCATTGCAGCATACAACTCCAGGAGTACCTAAAAGGAACAAAACCCACCAACCTTGAACTACAACTTCTGAGGGCTTATGAAGTACCACCCCTGCCCACTCTATTAACAAGAATCCGTGGCTTAGAGGTAGAAGTCACCATCCAGTGACCCCCTGAAAGGCCACCGAGAGAAGAGCTCTCTTAGGGCCCTGGTTCTGGTTGACCCCTTGTGGATTGCAGGGGAGTCTGCTAATGTTCTGTCCCAGCTCCCACCCCTCCAACTCCCCTAAGTAATAGAACCCTGAATTTATTTGAGGCAGTAGCATGCCCAGCTAAACATTACAATTCCCAGCCTCCCCTGCTGCTAAGCATGCCATGTGACTAAGTTCTACCCAATAAAGTAGAAGACTCATTAAAGCAGAGGGGACCCTTTTCCCTTCCTTGTTTCACTCCTCCCTCCTGTTGCTCAGGATGAGGTAATGGGAGCTGAGCTCAAGCAGCCATCTTGAACTCAGAGATGATGTGAGGATGAAAGCTTCTAGGTTGGGGTGGCACAGCCCAAGACAGACCCATCTGGGTCCCTGATGACAGAGGGCCATTCTTAGCCCGGACTGCCCACCTCCAGAAGGGGAGAACATTTATCTTCTTCAAGCCACTATTTAAGGGTCTAACTGATTCATAGAAGCTTACTCAGCCCTGAGTTCTGTGCTGTGGACAAAGACATTCATGGTTCTTCTAAGGCCACTGTTACTTTTCCTCCTACTCTTTTTGAAAGAATCACGTCACCCAAGGTGGCCTCATTCTTTTGCATCTTTCCCCCCTTCTGTCTTTTGTTATTTTGTTTTCCTCTGTCTTCCCCTCTCTCCCTTGCACTCTTCTTTCCTTCCCTTTCTCTCCTTCCCTCTAACAATTATTGAACATCTACTGTGTTCTAAGTACCATGCTAGTTGCCAGGACTAGAAACAGGTACAGAAGACAGTCCCTCCTCCCCAGTGCCTCAGAGTCCAGGCTGTCAGGAAAATGTAAAGAGAAATGATGGGGGGACGGACAGGTGCTACAGGAGCAAAGAGAAGGACATTGATTCCAATGGGAAGGATCTGTGGGCTTCCAGGAGGTGACACAGGCGTGAGATTTAAAGCAGGAGTTTGGAGTTGCTGGTAATTAGGAAAAGAATACAGAGGACAAAGATTCCAGGCATAGGGTAGCACAGTACGGTGCAGCGATTAAGGATTTAAGCTCTGGAGCACAGAGTTACTTCTCTCGAGTCTTCAGCTCCCCTACTTGTAAAATGAGACTAGTAATGGTAATAGGACTAGATGAGTGCCTGGAAAGTAAGTGAGCCATACATGCTCCTTATTAACATTACTATTGTTGGTAAGTGTGCTGCTCACCCAAGGTATGCACAGTCTGATAGCAGTTTTGGAGACCAGTCTCACGGACGTTATAAGTGACTTGTCCATGGTCACACAACTATGAAGAGGCACCATTCAAACCCAAGTATCCTCATCCCTAGTCCAGTGGCCTTTATACTTCTACCTCCTGCCTTTGCAGTAAGTGTGGAGGGACTGCAGCTGGAAGGAAAGATCATTGTGTGGTGGGGGGAAAACCTGGAGGGCTTCCTGGAAGAGATGAGTACTTTTTTTTTTTTTCCTTGGAAAGAGATTAGTCTCGAAGGAAGGGGAGCTTGGAAGGCATTTCAAGGAAGGAGTGTATGATGAGCACAACAGACCAAGGTGTTGGGGACTAGCTGGCTGGCAGAGGGTCTGAATTGTGAGGAGTGTTGAGACACGAATTGGGACAGGCAAAGAGGGGCCAGATTAGAAGATGAACCATGATGACAGGCACTCTGATGGCCAAGTGATGGAGTGAGAATTTGAGTTGGTGGGCCACAGGAAGCCCCAGTTAGTTCTTGAGCAAGAGGGCTGGTCATAATAAAACAAAACTTTGGGAAGAAGGAAAGAAATCTGCCTTTACTAAGAGTCAGTATGGGCCAGAAAGTAGGTTAAGCATTTTCACATTATTTTATTTCAGCCTCATGACAACCCCATTGGGTTAGTATTAATGTCCCCACATTACAGATGAGAAAACTGAGGTCCAGAGAAACCGAGTCACAGAGTTGAGCCAGCGGTGGAGTTGAAAGTTTGATTTAGATCAGCCTGACCCCAAATGTGTGCTCTTTATACTGTATCATGTGGCTTTCAGTTGTTCTCACTCTCAGAGGGCCCCTTGTGCTGTAGGTTTCCCACAAGACATTGCTGCCTTGCCAGGGGTTGGAGAGTCTTT